TGTGTTGTACAATTTTAGCATTAACTTACATTTACGTAATAACATTTTTAAATTACAATCTCTTATGCATAACCAGTTTTCTTCACCACGATTTACAAACATGTTCAAATATGGATGGTACAAAAGTGGTTACGTACTTGAAAAACCAAATAGTTGGCAAACCCCTGTTCAGTATTGTTTTCAACATACTGATGTTAAATGCCACTTTTGTATGCTATTTGGGATTGTCACATGTGCATGGTGCACCAAATGTCTTTGTATAAACCACTTTTTTGCTCTTGACAATGTCGATAAACCACACTATTGTAAGCAATACGTTAATTCCACTTAAATATTAAAATAATAATAGTAATTTCATTATGAATATTTTATATTTTAAATAATAGTATATTTTTTATTATTTCGTGTTACTTTTGTCTTCACTAATTTTATGATATTTAAACGAACTCCACTTACTATAAAAAATCTTTTAAAATTCCAAACGGCCCTTTTTATGGCCAAATGATGTGCAAAATCCGATCGATAACCTCCACGCGGTGCACATTAGGTCACGCTAATGTCGACGGTTCTTCAAAAAGTAATTTCAAATCACAGTTACTGTTATTCTCAAAATATTTAAGGTCAAAAGATTTTTTTCAACTTTTTAAACCTTAAAAAAAATACAAAGATAATACAAGAAAAGTATAGTCGTTGTTAGAAAAAAAAGCTTGCGAATGAACATTTTATTTGAAGAAGCTTACTTCCAACGAGTTGGCTGCGGTTTTATTTATTTCTATGAAATTTACAGGTTTTAACTCATTTTTTATACAAAAGTTTTATTACAAAGTAAAATTTTGTTGACCTTTCTTTGGTTATGATCTTTATTTTCCTATAGAAAAGCAGCTGATGAAACTTGCTCTACCCAGGGCTAGGTGAGTTAGCCTGCTTAGGGGTTGATAGGGATGGTGTATAAGGGATATAGTGATTTGTGGGGATCGGTTATATCAGGTTATAAATGGGTTAGCCTATCCGGGTTGAGAAGTTAACCTTCTTGTGAAAAAATAATTAATCAAACTCGCTCTACCCAGAGTTAGGTGGGTTAGCCTGGTTAGGGGTTATTAGGGGTGGTTTCTACCCCTTAACAGTGGATTCGGCCAAAATAAAAAAACACGGGTTCAATATTTTTTAGTGCTCTAACGATGTGCCAAGTTTGGTTAAAATCGGTGAGTGACACTTGGGTAGGGTTACTTGTGAGTAATTTCTGTTTGGCCCGATATTTATGAAGTATCAAAAATTTTCGTTTTCATTATAAATAATTATTGATTGCTATATTTAATTATCTAACAAACTATAAATCGTAGCACAATAAATGTACTTTATAATGGTATATGAAAGTTATCATTTTATACTATTTAAGTCATAATTAATTATAAAATTATGATTGGTCGCATAATTTTGCATGCAACTATAGCTGTATGACTTTTACCAACATTTTCATGCGAAACTTAGCTATTATATAATAATATTAAATTATTGTAATTTGTAATTTTGCTCAATATATAGATTCAAAGTGATGTAGAACCAGCTATATCAGATCTGCAAGGTCGAGTACAAAGAAATAATCAAACCATTCAACCACTAGTATTGGCTGTAGGTGAGAAAGCGAAGATAAACAATTACAGTGTAATAATTAATAAGCAACAATATACACAGAGCAATCGCTTAAGTGCGTTTGAAACTGCTTTACAAATTTACTTTACCTTCGACTGTTCTTATTCAGAAAATTCGTCTAACTTGTGGCTTTTTGTACAAAAATGTTTATTGGCCTTCATCTTCCTACAGATTTTAATAATTTATCCATTCAGATTTTATAAGGACTAATTCAAAGCGCCCTAAGAAAGTAAATTAATTAGTAAAATAAAGCAGTGCTATATATGCAATGATATTTTCGATGAAACATCACTATTATTTAAATATTAAAATCTTTCATAAGAATGCTTATAGTTTTAGATGTATTTCGATGAGTGTACTAGATGTTATACAAGTTTTTGATCTCTATTAGCTCATGTAAAAAGACAGCATAGCATAGAAAAAAATATTTCAAATTCATCTGTAGAATCAACTAAATAAATACAACAACAAAATGACACTTCGAATGTTTTTACAAATTGTACTGCAATATCCGATTGTACTATTGATTATTGTGATAATTATAATAGTTACGATAACTCTTATTTTGAAATCTTAGATAATAACAGTTCGATCCCTGTTGATATTAGTGAAATTCATGCGAGGGATATGGAGCACGTTAAAAGTAACTATTTAGAAAAAATAAGTATTTCGTACGTAGCAAACGTATATAAATACAGGGATATCAGTCAAAGTAGAGTTCAATCTATAATAAATGATACAGAAAACGTTTTCAAAAAGTTTTTAAGTAACATACAATCAGAAGTTATTAGTTTAAATTTAAACAATTCGATAAAAGAAAAAATTAATCTTATTATCAAGTCTTTTGATACTTTTTTAGATTCTTTCGACAGCGAATATAAATGTTTTAATCGGTTTAAACAACTTAAAATTTATGTTGATCCTAAAAGTATTGGCGGATATGTCGTTATTGGCGAGAGAAAAGAATATGAACGAAAAGTTCTTATTGAAACTGTTATATTCAATTTATTCCTATGAGAAAAGTTTTAAAATTTTTTTTTGAGTTACCTCATGTTTTTAATGAAACTATATCTTATATTAACTTTTTAAGATCAAATAATTTAACTACTTCAAACTTTGTTCAAGGAGAATACTGGAGAAACAAATGTACTAAATATGAAGATAAATGTGCGTTGCCAATAGTAATGTACTATGATGACTATGAAAATAATAATTTTTTTGGATCGCACAAAGGCTTAGCAAAAACTGGAGCGGTTTCTATAAACATACCATGTCTACCAGATAAATATTAATTCAAATTAGATAATATTTTTGTATTTTGTTTATTCAATTCACTAGACAGACAGCAATTTGGAAACAAAATAGTTTTTTTTTAATTTCTTAATTAAATAATTTTTATTAATTAAAAAATCATACCGCATAAAAAGTACTGAAGAGAAATTTCCACATGTCGAGGAATTAAATTATAATACAATAAAAACTAAGTAATTGGTTGACACCGAATTTATCTACTAAAAACGAGACAACACAAATATCAACGGAAGTTTTGCAAGTTAATAAAATCTTCTTTTTGCTATGATCTAGAATAAGTGATAGGCACTGCTACTATAAAAGGATTATTGCTATGAATACGAGATATTTGCACTATTGTCTTCTTTTCGTAAAAAATGTTTAAGATGCGAGAAAAGAAAAACTAGTGCCGATATAAAACAGAATTGCCTAGAGTACTGTTAAAGCATGCTGCATAACTCCACTAATAAGTGCAGTCTCGACTACTTCCTTTTGCGTATAACAGTTAATCTAGAAGAAGAGTAATAGAGATGGGAAAAAATACAGAAAACTTTAAATAAACTTTATTGATTTTAAACAATGATGAAAAATTGTATTCAAGTCAATAAATTTTGTCTAAAAGAAATTATGAAAGAATAAGTTTTTGATTAAAGTACTTGCCAATTTTAGCTACTTCAAATAGTGATAGATTATAAAAAAAAATACTGAAAATAAAGTATTAACTTGCTTATGTATCAAATATTGAATTGTACCATCAAACATGTATTATGTTCTGTCGTATATAACACCATTACAATTATATAAAAAATGTTAATATTTATATTATATCAAGTATTAAAAAAAATAATTTATATATGTGATGCCGCGAAAGTCAAAATTATCCAAATTGATAAATCACTGAGACATCAGATTCTCTAGAAATCGATTAATTTGTGTTATCCAGAGGAGCTATGTTTTATATTCATATATTCAAACTAAAGCAAATAGTAACAAAAAAACTATAATCGTATGATATCAAAACAGTAAATTCATAAATTCGAATGTGTCGCTTCAAACGGTGCTCATGTATAATATGAAATAATCTAGAATATATTATAGTATGAAATAGTCTAGACATTAAGGACACAAAACTAATAAGAATGGTATTATTAGAATGAGCAGTAATAGAATTAAATTCATTCTGAAGTGTGATTATTGAGGGCATGCGTTTTTGAGTTTTTATATCAATAACCCAATATTAAAATTGAAATATTAAGAGAGTCCAACCTTTGTAGAAGCAAATGAAGTCAAATCAACAACTCCATAAATCCTTCTTGTAAACGTTTCGTTGGATATATTCCCAGCCTCTTTAGTATTTTTTTATAAGTCAAATATTATCACAAAAACATCACATAGAATATATATAGACTGTTTGATATGTATGTCTCGTGTCGTAAAATTGAGTCGTCACATTTGATTGGTAGTTTTTTTATCAAATAATGTTTCTGTGATAACGATATTGTTACTATTATTATGACTTCAAGAACTAATAATATTCTGTGATAATATTTGCCTGATGAGAAAGTACCGATCAGGTTAAGAATATATATCCAGTGAAATGTTTATAAGAAAAATATATGGAGTTGTTGATTTGATAATTGATTTTATGGAGGGTTAGTTTTCAATTTTAGATTTTCAAGTTAGACCATAAATTGTGAGAGTAATAAAATATATATCAATATTGTATCAATAAAGCTTATAAAATTCATTGTCTATTATTACTTAAATTGTTGAATAATCAACCGTAAAGATAAGTCTACAGAATTGATCATACAATCAACAAAAGAGAGGTTATGTTATTTCACTCTAATGAATTTAGATATTGAAAGTTGATAAAACTATTTCGTTGCGCCGTTATATACCAATATTTCTTATTCAAATAAAGCACAGATAAATTGAACTTGATACTTTATAAATATAATTTAAATAAACTAAAAATCGATAAATGCTTCCGAAAAATATAATTAGCTAAAAGTTATTTAATTTAAATGAATGATTTTATATTATATGGTTGTGGAAAAATTACAAGTTATTGTGATTCATTTTATATCAATAATTACATATATCAATAAAAATATAAAATATAAAATAAGGAAAAAATGAATACGCTGTTCAAAAATTTTATTTACATTCAAAGTTATGAACGTATAGTTGTAGAATATGTAAATTCCTTTTTCCTTAATATTTTGAAATTTTACGAGAGTTCACCAAAAGCAACAAGCTCCTATTTATCCTTTTTTAAATTTCTCTTTTCGTATTCCAACCTGTAATTAATGATAAATATTTGAAATATTTGAAAATGTTAGGCATGTGAATAATGATTATAAAATATAAATGGTCAATAATAACATACGGTATTATAATTGGTATAAATTGATATTTTTCCAAACGAAAAATTCCAAAAATTATACAGAGATTTAAATAAATAAAGCTCTAAATGTGCCTAATCATCTGTAGAAAATTGTGATGATTTTTACAGTAATAGCTGAGAAAATTCGTACATATTGTATCGTGTGTGTGTATGTATATATGTGTGTGTGTGTGTGTGTGTGTGTGTGTGTGTGTGTGTGTGTGTGTGTGTGTGTGTGTGTGTGTGTCACACGATCCCAAGTTAATATTTGCAGAAATTTTTAAAGAAGTATAAGTATTGGAAACTCGCAATTCTCTTACTACTTTATATTGAACAGATTCCTACATACATTGATTTTGATAATTTTATAATTTATTTTAATACTGGAATGAATTAGTTCATATAATTCTTCAAAGACTACAACTGATATTTAGGATTTTCAAATGATTTCTAAAATATAAATATGTTTTGGTCTGACTTTGTTTTACTATAAAAAGGCATTAAATCGACATAGTTATTTGAAATATTTTTTAATTTTTTAATAATTAAGTTAGGAAAAATCAAAAAACAGATTTGGAAAGGGTTTTAAAACTGTCATATGCAAATATTTATATTTATAAAATCTTTACGTCACTTCGTTGTCAAGTTTTCACCGCGATAAGTCAATCGCTTAGTTATTTTATTATAGTGTACGAAATGAAAAAAAAAAAAAAGAAACATTTTTTTCGTAAAAATATTATAAATTATGTCCTTTAAACCATCAAAATAAACTTGTTAACAATCTTCTCAAGAGATCCATCGCCAACACCAGCCAACTAACGAATGCCCAAATAAATTACCATAATTATTTCAATCATACTGTAAAACAAATACAATATACTCACTAGAGTATACTGCTGTTTATTACATATATATATAATAGCTAATAACATCAACATTTGCCTATTATCTCAATACGTGAAACAGATTGAAAATAAACTTAGAGTAATCGTAAAAAAAAACAAAAAAAAATAGTTTTAAATTTTTAAGAGCATAGAGAAGATAAAGGTTTCAAAGTAGTATTAAAAAACATGCACCGTTCAGCAAACATCGAAGAATTAAAAACTATATAACGATCGATTTACTCTCATTATGTCTCACTCTCCTAATTATCATTACATTATATTATTATTATTATTATATACACAATTACAATTATTTTCTATATACACGAATGTACTTTTTTTCCTAGCAGCCAATAAAGTAAGTATGAGAAAGTAAGATAGAGCGTATAGGCCACCGAATTTTGATGATCGAGCGAGACAAGTTGGAGAGAGGAAGGAGATCCCTTCCGCGTGAGTTGTAGCTATTGAGCCGAACTGCGAACGTATACCCATCTTATCCGTACCACGTGCGTTTCTATTACTAAAAAGTTCGCGGACTCTTTCGTGCGTATTTCGCTAGGGTTGATTCCTGTAATCAAACCGGTTACTGGTGGCGTGCATCCAATGCCGCACACACTGTTGCTTGCACTCGAGGCCGCGAGCGATCGTCTGTGTCTTGCGCTGATCGGCGAGATCTTTCTACTTCAGTGCTGTGATCTTGTTATCATTGTAAGTTTATCTACGTGAGCGCGGGTAAATGAAATTATAAGTGACATATATTGTTGAAGATAAAAGCGTTTTGTGTTTATTTAATTCAAATAAAATTTAGTGGAAGAATTCAACGCTAAGTCGTGTAGACTCGACAAGACGAAAGACTCGCAGCTGGCAGCAGGCCAAGCTCTAGGCGTGTCACAAGTGTTTACCAGTAGCCTTCATGCCCTCAGCGGAGTAGCACATGCCCTCGGAAAATTGCGTAGGAAGGGGAAATCCCTCCCGCGAGGTCCGAGGAAAAGGGACGCAGAGGATGCGAGCAATAAATACTAATGGTTATTGGGCAAGTGTAAGTTTCCTCAAACAATCAGATTAGCGATCGAGCTAATATAAAGGTAAAATAACAAAATAAAGGAAAAATAAAAAAGTAATCTGTGCGAATTGCAAAGGAAATCACCCGGCTAGCTATAAAGGATATCCAATACGTAAACTTACAGCAAATATTATTTTTTAGACTAGAAGACAAAATATTCAATCAAAACAATACATAATTTCAGCAAAATTTTAATACTGATATCAACAGAGTCAGACCAAATACTACATACGCCCCGGTAATTTCGAAACAAAATTATCCAAGTGAGATAGAAATATCAAAACAAACAACTGTTGAGTTAGATCAAAGTACTCGTAACATATTAGTGACGAAAACACCAACAAATTCAAAAACATGATGGAAAAATTAATGCAAAGAATGGATACAATATTCAATTTATTGACCGTACTAGTCAATAAGATGGTATAATGAACAAACTCAAAAATGCTATCTGGAAATTAAATAGTCTTATACAGATGTATCTCGAATTAAGTATATTATTAACTTGTAACGGTCCTTTCTATGAGCTCTTAGACTGTTTTCTTATTTTCACTGTATTATGGCAGCCTGCTAAACTCATAAATCTACACCTATTTATTAGTATATTAAACGGTGCCACCTCACGTACTATATTACTGTATTAGAGCAAGAATCAAATATAATGACCATTTAAGGAGTGTGACGTCACTCTACTTTATGCCAATTTTTATTGTTCAATTAAAATGCGTCATTAAGAGTAATTTCAATGAACCATATGACGGGGCCCTGGCTAGAATAGCCGACCCTGTCTGGCTCGCTCTCTCTCTCGCAGCTCGCTCCTTTGCTGATGCCCTGACGAGCGTGGTGGAAATTACAAACCGATACCGATGCTCACACTGCTTCATTTCAGAGCCAATACTTGAGCAGGACATCGTCATTAGGAGCCAATTGGGAGCTAGAGCGGCTGCAGCAAGAAAAATAGAGACAGATTGACGCGTCACGAGTAGAGAGTAAGCGAGCACGAGCGCCCGCGGCGATCCACTCGTGAGAGCGAAACCGCCGGCGTTGCTCCAGCCGACCCGCGAACGGTTGGGGAGAGAATTCGAGCCGAGATCTTGAGTCATAAGGATCGATTGTGACGGCCGAGCGTGCGCACGCAAGAAAACCGAATAGTTGAGGAGAGACAAAGGAGCGAAACGACGCCGAGCAGAGTACAGCTCGGAGAGAATTTCCATCGATGCTCGAGTCATCGTGGAATCCAATTAGACCTGCTGCAAGTCTGTCTGCAGCTCCAGCAGCATTTCCTGCCTGCAGCTTCAGCAGTATTTTCTGCCTGCAGCATTAGCAGCATTTCCTGCCAGCAGCACCAGCAGCGTTTCTTGGCAGCAGCCTTCACCAGGTCAGGTTGTCTCTCTCTCTTTCTCTCTCTTTATTTGCAAGTGCGCGACGCATCGGCGAAGTGCTCGCGATCATCCGGAAGCACGGCGAAATCGGTGAACAAGGCGAGGTCCTCCTTTGTAGTCCTCTCAACTATCGTAACGTGCCCCCGTGTGATTGTCCGCACGAGCGAAGGCACGCAGCCGTAAAGGTCGACGCGTAAACCCGCGTCGTCGCTCTTGATTGTTAAACGTTGAAGAATAAACATTGTTAACAAATATCGGGAGTGATCATAGTGTGCGCCCGTCATCCCCTTCCTCTCAATTCAAAGCCTAAAACGCCAATTTAGTGACGAGGCCCATCGTCACCGTTCAGAGGAGCGAAAGAGCCTCCCTTACCTTTCCCTTTTAAATAATTTGTGACACGACGTTTGGGCAAGGGCCCTTGCATAGCACGTGGGAATTATTAAAATGTATATTTCCCTAAAACGCGTTGGTAAATTTAATTAATAGTGTTACACGGCATCCCTTGTGGGGAAAGCTGAAAAATTGGTAATTTTTAGGCTGAGAGGAACGGTGTGTGGATTGAAACGCACTTGTTGAATTTCGAAGTCAAGGAATTTGAGAGGACAAAGGCTGGGTAGAAAGCGCGCGTTCGAAGCCGCGCAAAGGTCGAACAGCGTGAGTTAGCGCTTGTTGTTGTGAGTCGCGAGCGGTCGAATCGCGCTGGTTGGTAACCCGAGCGGTTTGTTTACATTCACGCAGGCTAGCTGTGCCTTCGAAACAAGGCAAGCTAAGAGCCGCGCGGGCCGTCGAAATACCGAGTTTCAATATGAACAATTGTTATCTTTTATTTAATTTGATAGCAAACATCACCGCTTACTGTCGTCGCTGCGCTTGTGCCTGAACGGGTGTGCTTTCAGACTAGTGTTCCGAAGGTCACCGATTGTCGTTAATTGTTTTGGTTGTGAGGCACAAAGCCTAGTCGAGTAGTGTTGTTGCTAAGCGGATTACCGCTGAACAGTTGACACGTCTTTGCCCTAGAGCCCGGCTAATGTGCATGTTATGAGATTTGACTTTGTTGTGTAGTATTTGTTGCGAGAAAGAGGGAACTGTAGGATGCGAGGGTAAACACTTGGCGTAAGTCCGCCGAGGGTACCTAGTGCGAGAAGGAATTGCGTTAATCCTCAATCTTCTCGAATAGTTTTACACAGCCCGACCAGAGGTGTGTAACGTCGCACCTGAGTAATTGTAGAAAACGTTTGTTGTGTAGAGTCAGTGTATCGGTACCGAAAGGTTTTGTCGCGTGATTGCAGGTGTAGGTCACGGATCTTGCCGGTGACTCGTGTCAAGGATGGATCATTTGCCGAGAGATTTCGTAGAACAGTGACGTCACGATACCGCTCCCGGGACCGATAAATCCCGTGATGCACGAGATCTTGAGGAATCGAGGCGTACGAGCGCTGAAGTGGCACATCACCACGACCCCACCGGCTAAGCTTATGGCTATGTTACAGAGGAGCCAGTTATGCATGAATGGCACGTATGAGGACCTGCAGGATCACATGTTGCGTTATATGATCGCGCGCGAAAAACCTGAGTTGAATCTGCC